TTGGGGGATATCTGTACTGTCCTGACATTTGGGGGATATCTGTACTGTCCTGACATTTGGGGGATATCTGTACTGTCCTGACATTTGGGGGATATCTGTACTGTCCTGACATTTGGGGGATATCTGTACTGTCCTGACATTTTGGGGATATCTGTACTGTCCTGACATTTGGGGGATATCTGTACTGTCCTGACATTTGGGGGATATCTGTACTGTACCTTCCTGACATTTGGGGGATATCTGTGTACTGTCCTGACATTTGGGGGATATCTGTACTGTCCTGACATTTTGGGGGATATCTGTACTGTCCTGACATTTGGGGGATATCTGTACTGTCCTGACATTTGGGGGATATCTGTACTGTCCTGACATTTGGGGGATATCTGTACTGTCCTGACATTTGGGGGATATCTGTACTGTCCTGACATTTGGGGGATATCTGTACTGTCCTGACATTTGGGGGATATCTGTACTGTCCTGACATTTGGGGGGGATATCTGTACTGTCCTGACATTTGGGGGATATCTGTACTGTCCTGACATTTGGGGGATATACTGTCCTGTCCTGACATTTGGGGGATATCTGTCCTGTCCTGACATTTGGGGGATATCTGTACTGTCCTGACATTTGGGGGGATATCTGTACTGTCCTGACATTTGGGGGATATCTGTACTGTCCTGACATTTGGGGGATATCTGTACCTGTCCTGACATTTGGGGGATATCTGTACTGTCCTGACATTTGGGGGATATCTGTACCTGTCCTGAATTTGGGGGATATCTGTACTGTCCTGACATTTGGGGGATATCTGTACTGTCCTGACATTTTGGGGGATATCTGTACTGTCCTGACATTTGGGGGATATCTGTACTGTCCTGACATTTGGGGGATATCTGTACTGTCCTGACATTTGGGGGATATCTGTACTGTCCTGACATTTGGGGGATATCTGTACTGTCCTGACATTTGGGGGATATCTGTACTGTCCTGACATTTGGGGGATATCTGTACTGTCCTGACATTTGGGGGATATCTGTACTGTCCTGACATTTGGGGGGATATCTGTACTGTCCTGACATTTTGGGGGATATCTGTACTGTCTGACATTTTGGGGGATATCTGTACTGTCCTGACATTTGGGGGATATCTGTACTGTCCTGACATTTGGGGGATATCTGTACCTGTCCTGACATTTGGGGGATATCTGTACTGTCCTGACATTTGGGGGATATCTGTACCTGTCCTGACATTTGGGGGATATCTGTCCTGACATTTGGGGGATATCTGTACTGTCCTGACATTTGGGGGATATCTGTACTGTTCTGACATTTGGGGGATATCTGTACTGTCCTGACATTTGGGGGATATCTGTACCTGTCCTGACATTTGGGGGATATCTGTACTGTCCTGACATTTGGGGGATATCTGTACCGTCCTGACATTTGGGGGATATCTGTACTGTCCTGACATTTGGGGGATATCTGTACTGTCCTGACATTTGGGGGATATCTGTACTGTCCTGACATTTGGGGGATATCTGTACTGTCCTGACATTTGGGGGATATCTGTACTGTCCTGACATTTGGGGGATATCTGTACTGTTCTGACATTTGGGGGGGATATCTGTACTGTCCTGACATTTGGGGGATATCTGTACTGTCCTGACATTTGGGGGATATCTGTACCTGTCCTGACATTTGGGGGATATCTGTACTGTCCTGACATTTGGGGGATATCTGTACTGTCCTGACATTTGGGGGATATCTTGTCTGTACTGTCCTGACATTTGGGGGATATCTGTACTGTCCTGACATTTGGGGGATATCTGTACTGTCCTGACATTTGGGGGATATCTGTACCTGTCCTGACATTTTGGGGGATATCTGTACCTGTCCTGACATTTGGGGGATATCTGTACTGTCCTGACATTTGGGGGGATATCTGTACTGTCTGACATTTGGGGGATATCTGTACTGTCCTGACATTTGGGGGATATCTGTACTGTCCTGACATTTGGGGGATATCTGTACTGTCCTGACATTTGGGGGATATCTGTACTGTCCTGACATTTGGGGGATATCTGTACTGTCCTGACATTTGGGGGATATCTGTACTGTCCTGACATTTGGGGGATATCTGTACTGTCCTGACATTTGGGGGGATATCTTGGGGGATATCTGTCCTGACATTTGGGGGATATCTGTACTGTCCTGACATTTGGGGGATATCTGTACTGTTCTGACATTTGGGGGATATCTGTACCGTCCTGACACATTTGGGGGATATCTGTACTGTCCTGACATTTGGGGGATATCTGTACTGTCCTGACATTTGGGGGATATCTGTACTGTCCTGACATTTGGGGGATATCTGTACTGTCCTGACATTTGGGGGGGGATATCTGTACCTGTCTGACATTTGGGGGATATCTGTACTGTCCTGACATTTGGGGGATATCTGTACTGTCCTGACATTTGGGGGATATCTGTACTGTCCTGACATTTGGGGGGATATCTGTACTGTCCTGACATTTGGGGGATATCTGTACTGTCCTGACATTTGGGGGATATCTGTACTGTCCTGACATTTGGGGGATATCTGTACTGTCCTGACATTTGGGGGATATCTGTACTGTCCTGACATTTGGGGGATATCTGTACTGTCCTGACATTTGGGGGGATATCTGTACTGTCCTGACATTTTGGGGGGGATATCTGTACTGTCCTGACATTTGGGGGATATCTGTACCATGTCCTGACATGGGGGATATCTGTACTGTCCTGACATTTGGGGGATATCTGTACTGTCCTGACATTTGGGGGATATCTGTACTGTCCTGACATTTGGGGGATATCTGTACTGTCCTGACATTTGGGGGATATCTGTACTGTCCTGACATTTGGGGGATATCTGTACTGTCCTGACATTTGGGGATATATCTGTACTGTCCTGACATTTGGGGGATATCTGTACTGTCCTGACATTTTGGGGGATATCTGTACTGTCCTGACATTTGGGGGATATCTGTACTGTCCTGACATTTGGGGGATATCTGTACTGTCCTGACATTTGGGGGATATCTGTACTGTCCTGACATTTGGGGGATATCTGTACTGTTCTGACATTTGGGGGATATCTGTACTGTCCTGACATTTGGGGGATATCTGTACCTGTCCTGACATTTGGGGGATATCTGTACTGTCCTGACATTTGGGGGATATCTGTACTGTCTGACATTTGGGGGATATCTGTACTGTCCTGACATTTGGGGGATATCTGTACTGTCCTGACATTTGGGGGATATCTGTACTGTCCTGACATTTGGGGGATATCTGTACTGTCCTGACATTTGGGGGATATCTGTACCGTCCTGACATTTGGGGGGGGATATCTGTACTGTCCTGACATTTGGGGGATATCTGTACTGTCCTGACATTTGGGGGATATCTGTACTGTCCTGACATTTGGGGGATATCTGTACTGTTCTGACATTTGGGGGATATCTGTACCTGTTCTGACATTTGGGGGATATCTGTACTGTCCTGACATTTGGGGGATATCTGTACTGTCCTGACATTTGGGGGATATCTGTACCTGTCCTGACATTTGGGGGATATCTGTACCTGTCCTGACATTTGGGGGATATCTGTACTGTCCTGACATTTGGGGGATATCTGTACTGTCCTGACATTTGGGGGATATCTGTACTGTCCTGACATTTGGGGGATATCTGTACTGTCCTGACATTTGGGGGATATCTGTACTGTTTGACATTTGGGGGGATATCTGTACTGTCCTGACATTTGGGGGATATCTGTACTGTCCTGACATTTGGGGGATATCTGTACTGTCCTGACATTTGGGGGATATCTGTCCTGTCCTGACATTTGGGGGATATCTGTACCGTCCTGACATTTGGGGGATATCTGTACTGTTCCTGACATTTGGGGGATATCTGTGTACTGTCCTGACATTTGGGGGATATCTGTACTGTCCTGACATTTGGGGGATATCTGTACTGTCCTGACATTTGGGGGATATCTGTACTGTCCTGACATTTGGGGGATATCTGTACTGTGTTCTGACATTTGGGGGATATCTGTACCGTCCTGACATTTGGGGGATATCTGTACTGTCCTGACATTTGGGGGATATCTGTACAGTCTGACATTTGGGGGATATCTGTACTGTCCTGACATTTGGGGGATATCTGTACTGTCCTGACATTTGGGGGATATCTGTACTGTCCTGACATTTGGGGGATATCTGTACTGTCCTGACATTTGGGGGATATCTGTACCTGTTCCTGACATTTGGGGGATATCTGTCCTGACATTTGGGGGATATCTGTACTGTTCCTGACATTTGGGGGATATCTGTACTATGTCTGACATTTGGGGATATCTGTACTGTCCTGACATTTGGGGGGATATCTGTACCTGTCCTGACATTTGGGGGATATCTGTACTGTCCTGACATTTGGGGGATATCTGTACTGTCCTGACATTTGGGGGATATCTGTACTGTCCTGACATTTGGGGGATATCTGTACCTGTCCTGACATTTGGGGGATATCTGTACTGTCCTGACATTTGGGGGATATCTGTACTGTCCTGACATTTGGGGGATATCTGTACTGTCCTGACATTTGGGGGATATCTGTACTGTCCTGACATTTGGGGGATATCTGTACTGTTCTGACATTTGGGGGATATCTGTACTCCTATCCTGACATTTGGGGGATATCTGTACTGTCCTGACATTTGGGGGATATCTGTACTGTCCTGACATTTGGGGGATATCTGTACTGTCCTGACATTTGGGGGATATCTGTACCTTCTGACATTTGGGGGATATCTGTACTGTCCTGACATTTGGGGGGATATCTGTACTGTCCTGACATTTGGGGGATATCTGTACCGTCCTCTGACATTTGGGGGATATCTGTACCGTCCTGACATTTGGGGGATATCTGTACTGTCCTGACATTTGGGGGATATCTGTACTGTCCTGACATTTGGGGGATATCTGTACTGTCCTGACATTTGGGGGATATCTGTACTGTCCTGACATTTGGGGGATATCTGTACTGTTCTGACATTTGGGGGATATCTGTACTGTCCTGACATTTGGGGATATCTGTACTGTCCTGACATTTGGGGGATATCTGTACTGTCCTGACATTTGGGGGATATCTGTACTGTCTGACATTTGGGGGATATCTGTACTGTCCTGACATTTGGGGGATATCTGTACCGTCCTGACATTTGGGGGATATCTGTACTGTCCTGACATTTGGGGATATCTGTACTGTTCTGACATTTGGGGGATATCTGTACTGTCCTGACATTTGGGGATATCTGTACTGTCCTGACATTTGGGGGATATCTGTACTGTCCTGACATTTGGGGGATATCTGTACTGTCCTGACATTTGGGGGATATCTGTACCGTCCTGACATTTGGGGGATATCTGTCCTGTCCTGACATTTTTGGGATATCTGTACTGTTCTGACATTTGGGGGATATCTGTACTATTCTGACATTTGGGGATATCTGTACTGTCCTGACATTTGGGGGATATCTGTACCATGTCTGACATTTGGGGGATATCTGTACTGTTCTGACATTTGGGGGATATCTGTACCATCTGACATTTGGGGGATATCTGTACCATCCTGACATTTGGGGGATATCTGTACACTGTCCTGACATTGGGGGATATCTGTACTGTCCTGACATTTGGGGGATATCTGAACTGTTCTGACATTTGGGGGGATATCTGTACTGTCCTGACATTTGGGGGATATCTGTACTGTTCTGACATTTGGGGGGATATCTGTCCTGTCCTGACATTTGGGGGATATCTGTACTGTCCTGACATTTGGGGGATATCTGTACTGTCCTGACATTTGGGGGATATCTGTACTGTCCTGACATTTGGGGGATATCTGTACCGTTCTGACATTTGGGGGATATTGTACTGTTCTGACATTTGGGGGGATATCTATACTGTCCTGACATTTGGGGGATATCTGTACCGTCCTGACATTTGGGGGATATCTGTACCGTCCTGACTGTATGACATTGGGGGATATCTGTACCAACTTTCCTACAGACTAAAAAATACATCCTAATTTGGGTTATTTTCACCAAAGACATGTAGCAGAAACATCTCGGCCTAAATTTATGAAAGAACAATTATTTATTTGCAAACTTTTATAACAGAAACAAAGAAAAACGTGTTTTGTTTTCAAAATTTTCAGCCTTTTTTTTGTTAATTTAGCAAAAAATAAAAACCCCAGCGGTGATTAAATATCACCAAAATAAAGCTCTAGTTATATGAAGAAAATTACAAAATTTTAGTTTGGGTACAATGTTGTATGACCGCGCAATTGTCATTCAAAGTGTGAGAGCACTGAAACCTGAAAATTGGCCTGGACAGGAAGGGGGGTAAAAGTGTCCGGTATTGAAGCGGTTAATACTTTTTTTTATAAATGTCAGTGCTAAAAACTTTATTGCCAAAAGTATTGTCCCCGCCCTCCAAATCATGTGATTCAGGTGTTCCAATCCCCTCCATATCATGTGATTCAGGTGTTCCAATCCCCTCCATATCATGTGATTCAGGTGTTCCAATCCCCCTCCCAATCATGTGATTCAGGTGTTCCAATCCCCTCCATATCATGTGATTCAGGTGTTCCAATCCCCTCCATATCATGTGATTCAGGTGTTCCAATCCCCTCCATATCATGTGATTCAGGTGTTCCAATCCCCTCCATATCATGTGATTCAGGTGTTCCAATCCCCTCCCAATCATGTGATTCAGGTGTTCCAATCCCCTCCATGGACACAGGTGTATACAATCATCCCCTAGGCATGCAGACTGCTTCTACAAACATTGGTGAAAGAATGGGTCGCTCTCAGGAGCTCAGTGACTCCAAGCGTGGTGCCGTGATAGGTGGTCACCTGGGCAATAAGTCCATCCGTGACATTTCCTGGCTACTAAATATTCCACGCTCAACTGTTAGTGGGATTATAACAAAGTGGAAGCAACTGGGAACAACAGCCACTCAGCCACCAAGTGGTACGCCACGTCACATGACAGGGCGGGGTCAGCGCATGCTGAAGCGCACAGTGCGCAGAAGTCGCCAACTGTCTGCAGAGTCAATAGCTAAAGACCTCCAAACTTGGTGTGGCCTTCAGATGAGCCCAACAACGGTGCGTAGAGAGCTTCATGGAATGGGTTTCCATGGCCGAGCAGCTGCATCCAAGCCTTACATCACCAAGTGCAATGCAAAGCGTCGGATGCCGTGGTGTAAAGCACGCCACCACTGGACTCTAGAGCAGTGGAGACATGTTCTCTGGAGGGACCAATCACGCTTCTCTGTCTGGCAATCCAATCGACGTGTCTGGGTTTGGCGGTTGCTTGCCTGACTGCATTGTGCCAAGTGTAAAGTTTGGTGGAGGGGGGATTATGGTATGGGGTTGTTTTTCAGGGGTTGGGCTTGGCCCCCTTGTTCCAGTGAAGGGAACTCTTAAGGCATCAGCATACAAAGACATTTTGGACAATTTCATGCCACCAACTTTGTGGGAGGAGTTTGGGGATGGCCCCTTCCTGTTCCAACATGACTGCCCACCAGTGCACAAAACAAGGTCCATAAAGACATGGAGGAGCCAGTTTGGGGTGGAGGAACTTGACGTTTCATGCTTTGTGGGAAGAGTTTGGGGATGGCCTCTTCCTGTTCCAACATGACTGCCCACCAGTGCACAAAGCAGTTTGTTACATTTCTGCTGCGGGTCCATTGAAGTCTATTACACACAAAACACAATCTGCTGCGGGAAATAAAAAGTCCCCGACCCTTTCCAAAAAACGCCCCGGCTCAAAACGCAGAGATGTGACCTAGACCCATGGGGGACCTAATAACCGGTTGTGACATAATCCCCGAACATTTCATTCATTTTATTTACTACAAAAAACAAACTGGAGGGAATGTGAAGCAATGGTGAGAGATTGGACTTACTTGGTGCAGTAAAGTATCTGGGTGTTGTTTGTGAGAAATGTATAATTGGTGGTAGAGGCCGATATGGTGAACACCCCTCCAAGGATCAGGTCGCCCTCCTGGTAATAATCGATCTCCTTTTCTCTGAACCCGAACTGGTAATTACAGATGGGAGCTGAACTCTGAATCCTGTATATAAGTATCGTCATCCACAGGGCAATACAAGGGAACGGGCCGGTGTGGGGGTTAAACAAAGGAAGGGATGTGATCGTCCTACACGCAGGAGAGGAGGCAGAAAACTCCGTCATCAGAAACATGGCAGACTGGATCGAACAATCCATGATAGGATACTGAAGATGGATGGGTGACAGGTCCTCAGTACGATGGTGTCGGTGTCATCGCCTCTCCTTATATACACTTCACTCCCAGACATTTCTATTGTCTGAATGTCGTCCTTCATTCTGCTTCTATTTCCTGCTGTTTTGCTCGCTGGACTTTCCATAAAATGCATCGAGCTGTAAATATGGTCGATTTTCATTTTTTTCAAAGATCTATAAAAAATATATTTATTTTTAAATAACACGAAAAGATCTTTTAAAATGTACCGGCCCATTGTTCATACCACCATGACACTACTACAATTCTTCACTCCCGTACAACATGATTTTCAGATTATTATTATTAAAGTGTTACCAAACCCCCCACAGTACAATCAGTCTGTAGATGCAGTACAGCATGCTTGCTATTTATACTCAGAGTGGGACCGAAGGGGTTAATCCTCTGCACTGTGTAAAAAAGGCTGTTTGATCCTGTCTTCTCTGCTCCTCCTCTTGTTCAAATGTCCACGCTGATAAGACAAAACCCGTAGACATTCTGCACATGCCCAGTTAATGTGTATTGTAAGTAAAGTTTTTTTTTTCTTGAGGCAGTCTGTATGACCAATCAGTGCTGCTCAGACGGAGGTCAAGGGTTCTGCATCCTCCTAGAGCAGAATTAAAACTCCTCCTACAAGCTTTAACCAGTGCTCTATTGGACGCTGATAGAAGTCACAAGACGGCTCTATACTGCTGATGAGAAAAGGGATTCAGGAGTTTATAGTTACTAAAATAATTGCATTTCCATTTTCTGTGTACTGTGGGAGAGCGGATATAATGAATGCGGGGTCCGGGGAGAGCGGATATAGTGAATGCAGGGTCCGGGGAGACCGGATATAGTGAATGCGGGGTCCGGGGAGAGCGGATATAGTGAATGCGGGGTCCGGGGAGAGAGGATATAGTGAATGCGGGGTCCGGGGAGTGGATATAGTAAATGCGGGGTCCGGGGAGAGCGGATATAGTGAATGCGGGGTCCGGGGAGAGCGGATATAGTGAATGCAGGGTCCGGGGAGAGAGGATATAGTGAATGCAGGATCCGGGGAGAGCGGATATAGTGAATGCAGAATCCGGGGAGAGCGGATATAGTGAATACGGGGGTCCGGGGAGAGCGGATATAATGAATACGGGGTCCGGGGAGAGCGGATATAGTGAATGCGGGGTCCGGGGAGAGCGGATATAGTGAATGCGGGGTCCGGGGAGAGCGGATATAGTGAATACGGGGTCCGGGGAGAGCGGAGGATATAGTGAATGCGGGGTCCCAGGAGAGCGGATACAGTGAATGCGGGGCCCCGGGGAGAGCAGATATAGTGAATGCGGGCCCCGGGGAGAGCGGATATAGTGAATGCAGGGTCCGGGAGAGCGGATATAGTGAATGGAGGGTCAGGAGAGACTGGATATAGTAAATGCGGGGTCTGGGGAGAGTGGATATAGTGAATGCGGGGGTCTGGGGAGAGGGGATATAGTGAATGTAGGGTTCAGGGAGAGAGCGGATATAGTGAATGAGGGGTCCAGAAGAGCAGATATAGTGAATGCAGGGTCCGGGGAGAGTGGATATAGTGAATGCAGGGTCCAGGGAGAGCGGATATAGTGAATGTGGGGTCCAGGGAGAGCGGATATAGTGAATGCGGGGTCCGGGGAGAGTGGATATTGTGAATGCGGGGTCTGGGGAGAGCGGATATAGTGAATGCGGGGTCCGTGGAGAGAGGGGATATAGTGAATGTAGGGTTC